GACTTTGAGTTCTTGGAATCCGTTCGACAATACCTACTGGGACACGATTCCATCAATCTCATGCCTGCAACCCACCAAGTTGCTTCTCATGATCCACTTTCAAACCCTAAACGTGATGGTGATTTGGAGAACATTGTTTTCCGCAGTGAGGATGCAACTGCTGTGGTGGCGCGTCATGTCCACGCCCCACAGGCGTGGAAGCATTACCGAGGCGTGAGGCGCAGGCCGTGGGGGAAGTTTGCGGCGGAGATAAGGGATCCAAAGAAGAACGGAACTAGGGTTTGGCTTGGAACTTTTGACACTGAGGAGAAAGCAGCTCTGGCTTACGACAAAGCTGCTTTCAAGATGCGTGGGCAAAAAGCTAAGCTGAATTTTCCTCATCTTATAGATTCTGATAATTTTGAAACATTGTCGGAACCTGTGATGGAAACAACTTGTAAGAGGAAGTTGTCGCAAAGTTTTGAACCATCTTCACCGTCATCCTCGTGTTCAGAAGATAGCTCAGAGTCACAAGGGACGAAGAGGAGGAAGAACCTCACTCATCTATTGAATAAGTTAGCCAAGAACAGAAGCCAAGCCAAGCTGGCATGTTGATCTGTTGTACAATTTCATTCAAAGATTGTATTGTAATGCAATCTGGTGTTCATACGATTTAATTTTGTTTACCATTTCACAATTGCCGATTTGATTATTTTCATATAGTTAGTGATACTCAAAATCGGATGTTTGACAATATAAACAAGAATTATTGATCATAAAACCAATAAAAGGAGTTGACATACTTTTCACTTTTAACATGCACTGTAGGCGATCATTAGTAGTAAAATAGAAAAGTAAATATTATATTATATATGTATTGAAACTAAAATTTATATGGGAAGTAAGGAAAATTTTAATTCGACTTTATAATATATAAAAAGAGTATAAATTTTATCTTATAAATTAATTTTATGCTTAATTAATTGTTTTTGTAAGCTTAGATGCTTGATTTGAGTTTGAAAGGGAATCGGGGGAAGAGGTAAGCGGAAAATACAGGTCCAGTATTGTGGTTCTACAATAAGATGAAAGATTCTTAATCTATTCTGGAAGTTGATAATTATGAATCCATTAGAATGTTTGAACTATATGTGAGTGTTCAATTTGTGTAAGAGGAAAACGATTTTTTATGTACGAATGAGATATTGATTGGGATGAAGTAGCTTGTTTAGTATATGTAGATGTGTTTTGTGAGAATTGAGATATTTATCGATCTCATGTTTAAAATAAAAACATTTTGTTTTTGGTAACAATATTAACGAGAAAGAAAAGGAAAGTAGAGGGGTAGAAGAAGATGACTAGCGAGAAAATAAAGGGAAAATGTCCAACGGAAATATCTTTGAATTTTTTTTATCATGAATTAATGGTATGTGGATTATTTAGAAAAACTTCTCGTAAACTTTTTCCTTTAAAAGTAAATATATTAAATAAAAATAATTGGATTGTCTTAACTTATACATAAAAATATAATTTACATAACAAAATTAAAAACTTAACATTTTGACATTAATGTTTGACATTAATGTGAGGTTGAGTAGAAACTTTTAAGTTTATATGGTTACTACAAAGAATATGGTGAACAATCAAGTACAAAAAAAAACGTTAACAACCCGATAAAACCAATGGTGATGATGAGAGGATACAAAGACAAATGGACAAAATGAAAAGAAAGTACAAGGAAAAAAATAAGAACTTTGAGAGTCGAGAATGAGATCATTCGGCAAGAGAAGGATGACAAAGGGTCTTGTGTCGTCCACCTCAACCCTCCTAGGACCAACTAAGCAACCTTGGAGAAATTAGACTGGACAGTCTAAGCTAGCAGCTTCGTTGCAAGCAAGGACCATGCGAGAATCGTAGAAACCCTTCTGTCCATTAATTGGACGATGCTAATGTTTGAGAAGTATGATGGATATAAAACCCTAGACAAGAACATCTAGACCTTCATGAACCAGATGACGTTGTACACCACGAGTGACACAATATGGTGGCAGGTTTTCTCCACCTCATTGAAGGGGGAAGCCTTGGCCTGGTTTTCTACATTTCTAGCCAACCCTATAGGCTGCTTTGAAACCATCAGAACGAAATTTAAAGCTCAGTTCACATCGATTTGACCACACCAATGATGTTGATTGCTCTTGTCAATGTCATATAGGAGAAAGAACAATCGCTTTAGGCCTCTAAGGAGAGGTTTGGGAAGGTGTCTCTACACATCCAAAACCTTATCCTAGATATGGCCATGCACCACATTTATAATAGTGCTACAACAAAGGATGTTTGCCAATATCCTTTGCATGAGTTCTGTTGAGAGCATGGATGAGCTCAGGCAGAGAGTCTCCTAGTTCATGCAAGTAGAAGACATGAGGGAATTCTATAAATAGATGGGTGCGGAGAAGAATGTGACAAACAAGAAATCATCTTATACGGGAAGGAAAAATCGAAAGGCCCAATTTTGGTAACTACACGTTCAACTTAATGTATGGAACATACATGATGCTACCAGTTGAAGTGGGAGATCCTTCTCTAAGGAGGCAAATTCAAGAATTGGATGTCAACGTCAAACATCTCATAATTGAACTTGACACTACAACCAAGCAAAGGGAGAATGCAACCGTCTAAAATAATGCTTGTAAAAGGATGGTCACACAAAGGTTCAAAACTAAAGTTAGGCCGAAGAGCTTCGTTGAAGGAGACTTGGTATGGAAAATGACAAATGACGCAATGAAGAAGTCTATGCATGGGAAGCTCGCGTCAAACTGGGATGAAATGTTCAAGATAGTAGAAGACATGAAGAAAACCACTTACCGACTTTAAAACTTGAGCAAAAAAGTTGTGCCAAACACTTAGAACGCCACACAAGTTTTACATTAGCTTATTCAAATGTATTCACCGAACAACATGTGAATAAGTAAGACAAGGAATTCCAAGCCATAATTGTTCATTTTCTTCTTCTTGCTTGACGATTATTCTATTGGTTTGTTGAGGAAGAGTTCATCCAACCAACCCTTACTGAACCAATTACATGGTCGATTAAGGAAGAGTTCACTTGTTGAACCCCTATCACACATTTTAGCCCATCAGTTAAGGAAGAGTTATACTTGAACCCCTTCAATAGAGAACTCATAAACGTTTAAGGAAGAGTTCCACCTTAATCCCTACCGTTTAACATATAATCGGTTAAGAAAATTGAGCGTTCACCATTAAAAATGGTTTAAATTAATCTAATCAATGACATTAACAGTTAAGAACGAGCTCATCAAAGTGAACCCTTATCAAATGATCATCCATAAATGGCCTAAAAATCACTTAGAAAATTTGCAAATCGATATTAATTCGAAATGGTCGATTAAGAACGAGTTCCAAAAGAACCATTATCGAGCTTTTATGGAAAAACATGTTAAGATACAATGTTAAGTTACAATAGACCGATCAAAAGGAAAACCAACACACAAAAATAAACACAAGTGTGGAAGAAAAGACTCTTTCTATTAATTCAATTAAAAAAGGGGGAAAATATAATATAAAAAGGTCGATCCGGTAGCTATCGGTTTACAAAAAACTATGTTTATACATATCACATCAGATTGATCCTAAAAAAAATAACAAATAATACAAATTTGGCACTGTAGAGGATAGAGGATGTCTACTGTGGTTTTCTTCCAATCAATTGGGTGAAGAAGGACTTGATCTTCGACAGCGTCCTCCTTAACATCTTAGTGACTTTGTCGTCTAGGATATCCTAGACATCCATCAGTTGGCCATTGCAGAGGGTCTTCTGAATGTTTAATCGACCCTTATGAATGGTGATGCATAAAAGAAGGTCTCTTGGTCCAGGACCTTCTGGAATCTAGCTTCATGTTGTGTCATGACTTGCTCCTTAATCTTTCATCACACATTTTCCAAATGTTTTTTGTAACCCCACAATTAAAAAAATTAAGTGATTTACTATTTCATCATTAATTTCATACATACACATGTTTTACACCCCACATCCACACCTCTCTTTATTGAATTATCTTTTGTGGTCACCTTATTTAAAATTACTCTCCATATGAAATTGTGTAGTTAATAAGACCTTGGTTTTTGAGAAAGTACTTAACAAGGATCCTTCCTCATTTTCAATTCCATTATAACAATCTATATTCTTATTTTACCATATACACTTTTAAACTCTCATGACCATTGATCCTCTCAATCCCTATATAATGTGTTTTTCTATAACTGACTCATAAACGTATTCACCAACACTTTCTATCATTCTAACCACTTATCTTCCTAAAACTTGATTTTCTTTCCATTTTCTCTACCCACTTTATTTTATATTAAATCTAAAATTCTATTTTTATATCCTAATTCTTATACAAAATTCAATTAGATCTCTAATTTTTACTTGGTTCAATTTAATCCTTTAGTTTTTAAAAATATCTAATTAAATTCTTTTCATTAGATTGACACTGTATTTACGTTAAAATTTATATATCAAATAAATAACTCCATCTAAATAGCCTAAATATTCAAATTAATTTTATTTTTTAGATTGTGTGGTTTGATATATAAATTCTAACTTAAAATTAACATCAATCTAACATAAAGAATTTAATTGAATAATTTTTAAAATTTAAAATACTAAATTGAATTAAATAAAAATTATAAATCTAATTGGTTTTTTTATGAGAATAGAAGAATAAAAATATAATTTTAACATATATATTAGTTACATTCATGTCCTCGTCACATATTTTGAAAGTAATATATCTCTTTCCATAGACTTAATTCCTCCTTATCAAATCTTCACTTCAATTTTTCTAATAGAGCTTTGTTATAAGATTTCAAGTCCTTAACCCCGAACTCGCTCTCCATTTTTTGTTTTACAAATAGATTGCCACCTAACCGACCTTCATAATCTCCTTCTCACAAAAAATCCCTTTGTTTTTTTTTCTAATCATTCTTCCCAAAATCATATGCTTTTTAAATATTGATAAATAGTATAAAAGAATGACTGGGAGTATAGATTTGAGTAGGGTGACTTTACCTCAAAAGATATGTCTCCCTTTCCATACAATTAACCTTTGTTATGACACGAAACTAAAATTCCTTTTTTCTATGATTTCCTCTTACTAGATCGCTTAAGTATTTAAGTGTGATATCTTCGTGATTCCACAATTTAACACCATAAAAACCTTTCTAGCATTGTCTAAACTCTTACCTTTTTGAAAATTCACCTTGAACATCGATGCATATTATATAAGTATTCTAAATTTGAATAAATGTGTTTTTAGATTGGTATTGGGATGTACTTTTGTTGTTAAACCTAAACCATTTTAATTGGAGCTTCCCAACCACTCCCACGTAGCTTTGCATAACCACAAAAGAGCAACCTTTATCTCCCATTTCCTACTTTCAACTTACTAGGTTTTCTTTATTCATTAAAGATTCAATGTTTTCTAGGTTTGGTTCATGTGGGAGTAGGTGTTGGGATTTCTTAATAGAGCTACCAATTGCTCCAACTTATAATATTAAGGTGCGAATATTTTTTAAAGTTTCTTATTCAAAATAAAAGCTGAAGAACTAAAGAAGTGTTTTGGGTATTTGAAATCTTTTACATTCAAGTAATATATACATA